GGGGCCAGCTCCAGCCCTGTGGCCATCGCCTGGGTTGAGAGTAGGAGGGCGGACTCCTTCCATCAGCTTTTCCTTGAACGTGTGTGTTCGCTGTCAGGTGGCAAGGGTTAGTTTTACAAGCACCACCTGTGGTCTTGACAGCATTTTCTAGGCTTGGGATGAGGCAGTGGCCATACTGGGGGCCTGGGGCAGCGCTAGCTAGAGGACTTCTAAGGGAGAGGGCAGCTCTGGAATGTCCACTTGGCAGTACAAGCCCCGCCCTGGCATGGGAAAAAGGGACAGTCTGGTTAGCTTGTCTGTGCCAGCAGGTCCTGGTTGACCCTTAACCGTACCCATCCTGGGAGGATGCTGTGCTGGAAGCAGCAGCAGGGGAGAATGACAAAAAGCTGCAGTTGGGAAGGTGGACTCCTTCCTCTCAGCCCCTGACCCCGTCCTCACTGCTCCCCAGGCCTGGCTGGGGCTGCAGGAGGGGCAGAGGTGCTCATTGCTGTGGGATGGACTCCCTTCCTCTGAGTCCCCGAAGCACCTCTGAGGCAGGCCGAGAGAAGGGGTCTCAGTGGGGTCCACTCGGGTACCTCTGCAGCCCCAGCGGCTCAGGCTAGGGCAGGAACTGGTGGGAGCGGGTGGGAGACATTTACTAAGGGAGGGCTTCCCATTCGTGCTAATGCAATCCTCACGATAACCCAAGAGACGGGTTCCACTGTTACCCACATTTCAGATGAGGAAACAAAGAGAGGCTAACTAGCTTGCCCAGTGCCACTTAGCTGGTAAGCGGGGGACCCCAGGCCCCACAGCGGCTGCACAGGCCCCCCCAAAGCACCTGGAAGTTCGCAGTTGCTGGGGAAGGAGGGGTTTCCTGGCCTGGCCTCCTCTCTGGCAGCTCAGGAGCTACACTGTTAACCCTCAGCTGTGGTCCAGGCTGTGTGGTGGCAGTTTGCTAAGGTGACTCTCACTGCCTATGGCATTTGCCTCTCCCTGGTCCCCAGAGCTCACCGTCACCGTCTGCTCTGCTGAAATGATCAATAAGACAACGCGTTGGGTCTGCGACATGTGTGCCTGCAGCTGACGGAACCACCCCAGCTTGTCCTCAGAGTGTTTTCTGAGTGTGTGTGTACATGCCTGCGTGTGTTCCAAATGGGCAGTAACATGTGGGAAGGGAAAGCATGGCACTTGTTTTTGTCAGCCTGCTGACTGCTCAGTAACTGGAGGCCGCCTTTGCCCCCAGCTGCTCTGCCATTTCTGTCTTTACAATCCTGCCTGATCCTGAGCAGAGATAAAAGCAGATTTCCGCTTCTGCTCCCTGAGATCCAGGCGCAGACCCTGCAGGCAGCTGCTCCCGACTGTCTCTCGCAGCCATTCATCTTGCCAAGCCCCCCACGCATCTCTCCTCCCCACCCGGCCCCCACTGCCCACCCAGCGGCCAGGTCTCTGCCCGGCTGGCCCTGCCCCTGACTTTCAGGAAGCAGAGGGTGGAAGAGTTCTCTAGACAGCAGCACCTCACATCTGAAGGGGAGGAAGGAAAGGGGGAGAGACCGAGGGGACCACACTGAAGCCCTGGGGAAGGGGCTGCCGATCCTGTAGGGAGCCTGGCAGTTCTGTGGGAGCCTCCAAAGTAGGGCGGGTGGAGGCAGGGAGGAGTCACACCAGGGGAAGGCGCTCTGTGCTGGGACCACATCAGAGCCCCCTTGCCCACTTGACAGGGCCCTTGAGTTGGAACCACCTGTCTCAGCTCCTGTCAGCCTGTCTTTCTCCTGGGAGGCATCGGCCTTCCTGGTGGCAGGACTGTCAGGCTGACAGCCAGAGGGCACCGTTCCAGGGCTGTCTGTGTTCCCTGATCCTCTCTTATCTATTTGCCATGTCCCTGTCACTTCTCCCTTGCCTCTGCATCCTGCCATCTCCAAGTTGCCCTCTCCTTCCACTGGTCTGAGGAATTTTCAGGCCAAGGTCAGCTAGCTGTACCGGGGCTGGCTCACAGCCCAGACACACATCCACGGAGTGACACCCCTCTGCAGCACTGTTTGCTCAGGAGATGGCAGCTCCTCCAGGGATCCATTCTGGATGATGGGAGGGAAGGAAAGGAAGGGGCTGGGGGTTATGGGGGGATGGGTCTGCCCAGACTGAT